TAGGACTCCCATTCGAGTGTCGAGCTCTGATGAGGCTGATGGCCCTCCCCTACCGACATCATCATCAGATTACGTTATCTTTCCTTGTCTAATATGGTCCTCGGACACCTCCCCCTCCTCTACTTGCCCTCCCCCCAGTGCCTTTAGACTTCAATGATGAGGTCATAGGGGCGATATGTTTTCGGACTCGACGGGTTGAACCCGCTGGGAGAAGGTGAGTATCAGTTTGAAGCTGTTTTAGAATATATATGTTTGCTTTCCTCAGCTGAGCTCAGCAGGAGATTTTTCACTAATCATAGGAACTTATATGTGGGTAGAAGTGATGCGGAAAAATAACAAAAATTTACTCAAAATTTTCACATGTAATTGACCATATGCATAATTAGTTTCCATCGTGTTTGGGAGAAGCCTCGGCTGAGTCGAAGTGAACGGAGGAGAGCTCATAAGGAGAACTCAGACACTCCGGAATCTAGCGCTGAAAGTAAGCATTTCGACAGGGGATTTGTTCGATACGACGATGGTGAAATTGATATACTAAAAAAGTCTATTTTACAGCTTGGTTTGGCATTTGGGTATACGCAGATGGTATTAGTATTTTCACACACCCCTTCTTGCTATAATTTCGCGTTAATTCAGTTTGTTATGGTATCAGTAAGTGAATTTTTCGCATCATTAGGTACCAGCGAAGAACCGTCGAGCCGCACTGGTTGGTCAGCCAAGAGGAAGACCAAGAAGCCCATCGGGGAGCAGCTGAAGTTGAACAAAGTTCTTGACGGGTACTAAGGATCTACACACTAAAGGCTAGAGTAACTCCTCCTTATTGTAGCTCTCGATTTTATATAATACTATCTATATTATTTGTTAATATAATACTAGCCTTGGTTATGATCAGTCGGCTCTGGTAAATAGTGGAGTTTCACCACCACCCTAGTGATATGGTAAACACATTTCACGACTAATGCATATCACCGCGAATATCGCGTTTTTCGCAGAGTATTACGCCACTTCGCGTAAAACGGGTTCACGTGAAACTCCAGTGAGTAGTATCTAATTAGTACCATCCTTTAAATACACTAGTAGTGTAATAATATCTCATTTGATTTTGTGCATCAAAAATGCTGTGGAAAAAATGTGTGAAAAATGGAGCCTCTTGGGAAGTGTGATTCTCAGAAGGCTACTGTTGAGGACTCCCAAGGCTGTACTCAGTTTATATTTAATTGCTTCTTATCTAGTCGTGAATTTGTCAATTTGAAAAGGATAGGAGTTATTCCTGAGTGTTTAAGTAGAAAGTGCATCCTCGCGGAGATGTGGTGTGTTGTTGTAGATTCAACTTGTATGATATTCTCAAGATCAGCCCTACGGCCACCCAGGAGCAGATAAAGAAGTCCTATAGACGTACCAGTTGAGGGGTTATATTTCTTCCTATTTATGAATGCATCTATTGTGAGCTCATAGATTTCATCACCACCCTAGTGATATGGTAAACATATTTCACGACTATTGCATATCACCGCGAATATCGCGTTTTTCACGGAGTTTTACGACGCCACTTCACGTAAAACGGGTTGTGAAACTCCACTGTATAATAACATGTATTATGTATGTACATATTATTATATATGTTTAAATATTAGAGTTTTACATGTTCTAGGAGCACCGGAGAAGTCCATTGATCACATTGTTAATTTCATTTTCTGGGGAATTTTGTGGCGCGTGACGCTGTCTGTGTTGTTTTTTTGGTAGGGTTAATTTTGGAGCATCATCCAGATAAGAAGAAAGGAAGCGCAGAGGAAGAGGAAGAAAAAATGATATTCCTGCGCATACAGGTATAAATATCTTGAGGTTGAGCGACTAAGATACAGAATAGGCCCGATTTTAGGAAGCCTTTGAAGTTCTCTCCGATGAGCGTCGCCGTAAACAATACGATTCTTCGCTTCCCTTCGATGAGGATGTTCCCACCGAATTAGAAGAGGACGAGGATTTTTACGAGGTTGGAAAAAAATTTATTTTTTTTGTGAATTTTTTCCCAAAAATTTTCAGGTGTTCGGTCCTGTATTCGACTCGAATGCTCGTTGGAGTAATCGCCGTCCTGTTCCGAGATTAGGAGATGATGCTTCTGATCTTAATAAGGTGATACACTCGCTGGGTGTGATGGGGAATATTACAGATTAATTTTAATTTGTAATTAATTTAATTTGTAATTTAATTAATTTGTAATTAATATGTGTTTTTCTGTAATACAGAATAATTTTTTTTCGAGAATTTTGTGCTATAGAAATATGTGTTGGAGGTTGTTTGGTAAAATATAAACATGATCAACTACATGTGTTGGTGATAGCAATAACAAGACTCTGAGGAAATTCTGGAAAATGATTGTTAGTTTTTGTGCACTACTTGCATATTCTCCTAAATCGTACATTATAATGAATAATTTTGAACATCATTTACATGGGAAATCTTTTGAGCGCTTTCGAGTTAGGTGAAACGATTCTATCACTTCTGGATGAATTTCGATTCGTGGAGGGATTTCTCCCAACACGATGAGTATGATGTCGCTGATGCTAGTTGTCGTGAGGAGCGCAGATGGGTAGAGAGGCAGAATCAGAGGGTAGGGATTGGACCTGTTTTGAATCTTTTATGCGGTGACCTTGGATATTTTGGTAGATCCGACGAAAATACGAGACGGCTGAGGCATCGAGAGTGAGGAAATTGGTGGAGTCGGCTATGCAGTAATATGTGCATGCGTGCAATCTAGTTTTGAGAGATAACGTCCTACAAGGGTGAAATTGTTCTTACATGGAAAACTGATTGAAGAATGTGTTCTTAGCCGTACGTGGAAAATTCCCCTTCCCCCCCCCCCCCTCTGGGAGTGTTTTAGGTTTCTGGGTGCAATACCACAATTCTGGCAAATCGTGATGGGAATTAAAACGGTTGATTAACGAGTTACATTCAACATTTGAGCGTCTTACTGGTCGCTATCAACCGCATAAGAGACTGCATTATCATAGAACGGTTGATCAGGGGCCCATCGAGCTTTGGGAAATAACGCCCCCCAGGGTTTGATAACAATTGGGAAAATGTTTATAATTTTCACGGAAAACTGATTGAAGAATGTGTTCCTGGCCATACGTGGAAAACTCCCTTTCTGGGAATATTATGATTTTCTGCGTGTGATACCACAATTCTGGCGAATTATGTCCTTTCGAATCGATTAGAATGTCTTTGCTTG